TATATATATATATAATCTTTTAATATTATGTAACGATAACAATGTGTTAAGCGATTATACACTTGCTCTACATTAAAATATCGGTACAAATGTAACAAGTTGCGTAACTGCTTTAAAATTGCATAAGATTGCTCTTATGATTTTAAAACTTACGTGATATTCTGCAGTTTTATATCCTCTATAAATTTTTCGGAATGAAATCTTATTCTAAAAAGTGAAAATTGAGCCAATCTTTAAAAAGAATAACTCAATTTTTAAGATTTCTTTCTCACTGTTTAAAAATCTTTAAAAGTAAGATTTCACTGTTTAGAATAAAATTCATTCCAAAAGTTTTAGAGAGTTTATTTTTATAATAATTATTAGATTATTACACAATTATATCGTTTGAATCATTTTGAAAGATTTTAATTTTTTGTTTTATATAAACTTTTTGCTTTACAAAAATATATAATATATCGCTTATAGTAGAATTACGAACCTGGACGCCTCGAGTGAATTCGTTATTGCAGTAAATATGGACGGCGGAGAATTCTCTGACTTTGTCGAACTCGAACTTGATCTCGACCGGTTGGCCGCGGCTATCGTTTCTCCAGCCCACCCAGCCCTGGGCGCGATCGTTATCGTAGTACATTTTGAAATTATCAGGCCCCGTTCTACCATCCGTCAGTTGACCTAGGCCACGGCGCAACTCGCCGTCCCAGTGCCCGTCGTAGGTCGCGTCGAAGAATTCCCATCCATTGCTTCTTTTATCACCTTGGGGCATCGAGTAGGACACCACACCGTCTGAGACGAAAAGTCAAGATTGTTGACCCTGCTATCGACGATACTGTCTTCAATTTGTTCCAAAGCAAATCATACGACTTTTTCTATTTTTTTTTATGACAGATATGCAATTAATTGTTATACAGATGTATAATATATTAATGATTCTGAGATCCAGCATGTTTTGATCGACTTTTTTATTTTAAGAGCTAGAACTTTTTTTGTCAATGTCATGGAGTTGAGTGGCAAAAAAGATGGCGCCACTGTCGGCGAATCCCTAAAGGGGAATCCCTCCGATTCTCTACAGATTAATAATTATGAGCATATATTAACATAAATAAATGTAAATTTTATAGTAGTAACGCCCAACAACATAAAATATAAACTAAACTTATTCAATTTTTTTAAAAAACGTGACAGCAAATTTTTTATAAAGTGTAGCGAGTTTGCCTATAAAATTAACTATTAGAAGTACCAATAATGTTCAAAATCATGCATAATTTAATATCAATCTAAATAAATCATATATGATATATTTCTACATATCGCATTAAGCAGTGAGAGTATAAAATCAAAGATTAATACTTTTCCATTTGTATAATTAGACACTTTCATATTTTAAATTCACTTCGATCATTTAAGCTACTTATGGAACAAACTATTCGTACAAGCGCGTTTGAATGTTATAGAGAATGATCTTATAGTTTAACACGCGTACTAATGAGTCACTGTATTTTCGGCATTGAAAGCACCCATTCGAAGCCCGTAGCTAATTCGATTCTCGGGCGAAAACGGAATTATACAAGCAAGATTTTGAAAAGCAAATTTGCTCTGGGCACGCCGGTATCAGGGTTAATGGACAGTCCGGTGGGTGTACCGGTCCGCAGCAAGTTTCACGAAAATTGGCGAGTGCAAACAGCTTACCGCTCCAGTAACACCCGTAGAGCTCGACCCGCATGCAAACCGTCCGCCTGTGATAGCTGTAGGGTAGAAAACGGATCTTGCTCGCCCACAGAGGCGGCTCCAGCTCGTGCTTGGACTCCAAATACGTGTTCGTGTTACCCTGTATTACCTGAAAGCACAGAAAGCGTCAGTTCAAGTATAGGACAATTTCAGTTTTCGGTCCGGCACGGCGTTTGAGCTTTACCAGACCGGTCGACGTGAGTCTCATTAGCTCTCTTTCCGCAATGGCGTTACATTAACTTCAGACAGTCGGATATTTGAGCACGTGCGCCATTTCCCGTTCTACCGCGCTTTTTGTACTATTATATCGGACAATGCCGATGTACAAGTAGATGCAAAAGCGGACTTTTATATGTACCAACAGTTTGCGAGATAAGAATTTTTAATATACCATACATTTTCGAGCTGTAACTTCAGCATGGTATCTTATGCATATATAAAAGGAAAAAAGTCTACGCGTTATTGATAAGTTATCTTGGAACGACCAAATTGCCATCGTAAATTTTGTTATATTAATGAATTTATGACGTCCTTTGCAATTCCACGTACAACGTCCTCACGATATCAATCAGATAATCCGGCAGGTCGAAAAAAAGCATCGAATGCGTTACTTTATGTCTCGATTGGAACATTGCGATTGTCTGGCAGTAGCCGATGACATTTATATCGTCTGGACAATGTCTGCGTTTCAGCTGCTTCTCCTTCCCTAGACTTGAATATGTCCTGTCACAGAATGGACATTGCGTTCCATGGTATCAGACGGGGGCTAAGGACTAATTTCACTCTACATTCCACCGCATTAGGTCCGACAGAGAGGGAGACAGAGAGAGATAGAGGCAGACAGAGAAGCCAACACGGATGGGCAAATCGAGAAGGGACGAAGGGTTCGCGACGGGCGCAGGCAGTAAACGGAGAGTGAGAGAGAGTTGAGTTAAATGTCCGCCGTCCGCATTCCCTGATCCCCGTCGAGGCAACGAACGTGTTGCCGTCGTTGACGACGTCTCTCTCTCTCTCTCCTCGAGCGTGCTGGGGCGACGGTGCAATATTGATTCCACGTTGTGGGTTTATGAATAAAATAAGCGGTTTATCCGACGGCGGTGTGTAGGGTGGTATACGGTGTACAGAGGGTGCGGGGCGTGCGGGCGAGTGGCATGGTCCCACGGGATCACGC